GATGAGTGAAAGTCAATGTGAACGTTGAAAGATTGGCATATATCGGTATGACTTTGGAATGACTTCGTTCTATCAATAGTGAATAATAATTCTCTATTATCTATAAGCAAACTACGTCGTTTCTTAATGAATAAATAGAATTATGTTCATCTTTAAGCCAAGTATCTGTATGAAACTGAGATTATTCTATTGTGTTACTTATGGACCCGAGGTCATCAAGAACCTATGACACGCATGCAATGTTTAATATTATTATGTGGCCTCAGTTAATAATTGTTATGATTATTATTATCCAGTTGTTCGCGAGACACCTGTATTAATTTGTAATCAGGCCATGGGAAACTTATGTGCATTATTGCATACTGATACTTTAAGAAGACTGAAATCATCCTCATTACAAAGGCTTTATGCCATTACAAGTTACATAGGCTTTATGCCATTACAAGTTACATGGGCTTATGCCATTACAAGTTTCATGGGCTTTATGCCATTACAAGTTTCATGGGCTTTATGCCATTACAAGTTACATGGGCTTATGCCATTACAAGTTTCATGGGCTTTATGCCATTACAAGTTACATGGGCTTATGCCATTACAAGTTACATGGGCTTTATGCCATTACAAGGGCTTTATGCCATTACAAGTTACAAGGGCTTTATGCCATTCCATGGGCTTTATGCCATTACAAAGGCTTTATGCCATCACAAGTTACAAGGGCTTTATGCCATTACAAGGGCTTTATGCCATTCCAAGGGCTTCATGCCAACTTTTCAAGGGCTATATGCCATCTTTCAAGGGCTTTTTATGCCATATGTTTCAGGGGGCTATTGTGCCAGATGTTCCAAAGGCTTTTGTGCCATATGTTTCAGGGCTTTAATGCCAATGTGTTTCAAGGGCTTTATGCCGTTTTGATAAGAGCTTCATGCCATTTTGTTAAGGATTTCAAGGCTGTTCCGTAAAAGATACTTAAAATATAAATGACTTTGATGAAATCCGTATTTGGAGTTACGAAATGTTTCATATGATAAGTAATTTCTGAAATGAGAAAAATGCTATGAACTTATGATATGTTTATAATATGATATGCTTGCCGGATAATTTTCCCCAAAATGCCTAGATGCACTATGAAACCCCGAATGTTCAAGATATGACATGTTTTCTGAAAAAGATACTTAGCTATGCATACAGAAACAAATAAACCATATGTTCTCTTTATTGATAAACACACGGATATGGATTATAATTCACATTGAGCATTGAATTGTTATGTATTATTATTTACTGAGCTTGACTCACTCTATTTTATGTTTGTTTCTGTAGGCACTCAACCTGGAGATCAACCTTCACTTGTGGCTTTTGTTACCCAGTTGTCAAACCCTGAGTACCTAAGCCCTTAGATGTTAATTGTTCAAGTTATGGAGTTTTGCTAGTTTTAATTTGTACCCTAAATGTCTGTTAAGATCGGCGTATATGTATATATACATAGCTATCTTCAGGTGCACGCCACTGCATATTTAACTGCATTTTGTTCTGTTTGTGATCCTGGCATGGTAGTAGTAGCTTAATGGATATATTGTTATTATGATTATTATTTTTGTTTGCTATTATATACTATTAAATGCTTCCGTTCAGGCCCCGTAGATTATATTCATCAGGTTTTATGTCCGTTTTTCTGAGGTGGTCATGCCCAAACTTTTAGGGGCGAGTTCTGGGCGTGACAGATTTCGTCGCCAATAGTCAATTTCTTTATTGGAAATTATACCTTTGCCGACTAAACTGTTAGTCGCCAATAGTTCATTTTTTATTTTATTATTTATATCTTTGGCGACCATTCACTTTAGTCGCTGAAAGTATTTTCAGAATTTTTTTTTTTTTTGCCTCCGCTGCTCCCAACAGGTTTCGAACTTGCGACGTCCCTTTGCACACGCCAAACCCTTTGCACAACACTCCCTCCACTATGCCAGTACATCATCACATGATCATATATGCAATATATATTATTTATATACTATATTAACCGCAATTAATACAAAATAATATTTATAAATATAATTTTTTTAATTCAATATAATTTTTGTCAAAAATAAATTATTTACTAAAAAAAAAATTAGGCAACTTTTGGCGACTAAAACCATTTTTTAGTCGCTAATTGTATTATTTTGGGCTACTAATTATTTATTTGTCGCTAAAAAAACAAGTTCTCAATTAAAAATCAGCACTTTTGGCGACTAAACAGAAATTTCGTCGCCAAAACCCCTGCTTTGGGCGACTAAAAAGGATTTTTGTCTGCAAAACCCCCACTTTCAGCGACTAAATTGTTTTAGTCGGCAAAACTGCTATAATCAGCAACTAAACCTGTTTTTAGTCGCCAAAACCATACCTTTTCGCTACTAAATTATTTTAGTCGCTAAAAACCGTGACTTTTGGCTACTAAACAAACTGTAGTCGCTGAAAACCCTATATTAGGCGACAAAACTTCCTTTTAGTCGCTAAAAACATGCTGTTCGGCGACTAAACCCTTTTAGTCGCTAAAAATTTGCTTTTCGGCGACAAATTCCAATTTAGTCGCCATTTCATGCACTTTCAGCGACGAAATTTCATGTTTTGGTCGCCATTTATGTTTTTTGTTGTAGTGAGTTAATGTAATTATACAAAAAAAATGAGACTAATTATATTTTTTTCAAATTATAGGAGAAGTGAATGTAATTTACCCTTGAAACTATATAGAACTCAATGGTAAATTTTAACTCAAAATATAATTTATTAATAATTTTTTTTAAAAAAAAATCATGTTAAACAAATAATATATTTAAATTTTAATGTGGTTATAAAGTGAGTATTTTTTTCTTTTTTGGGACACATGAATTGAGTTTATCAAATCAATTTGTTTTTTTAAATTTTTTTAATCAATGACCTGACTTTAAAACATTAATCGTAGTCGCATTTACGTGCCTCCCAAGCATATGCCTAGGTTAGAATGTCCAAGAAGATGAATAAAAATTATTAGGTAAATTATATTTTGTCTCATTTGATGATTTTTTTTATTTTTGCCTTTAATTTTTGTTTTCACTGTAGCCTTTTATATTTTAATTTATTCTATAAATTAATATATATTCAAAATTATATAAAAAATGACACATTAACAGCTTGACATATATATTTTTTTAATCACATTAACAGCTTGACATAATTTTTTTTTTATTATAAATAACTCACATTTTTTATACAAACCCAAACTTTAATATAATAAAATATTTTTTATATTATATGACAACTAATATAACATTTTTCTATTTAATTTTGAAAAGAAATTAATTTTAAGAGTAAATTTTTTAAAAAATGAAACATAAAACGTCAACGTGGGAGAGAAAAAACTCCAAAGACCAAGCTGAAAAACTAATTAAACATAAAGATGGCAAAAAAAATTTATTTATTCAAAATTATTATGTGATCTAGCCACGCCCACACGTCTCCTCGCTGTCTCACCAATTATCAAATACCAAGTTCTTTCTTGTTATGCCACAACAGAAAGTTAACTTATAGCCCCGCTACTCACTCCGTTAATCACACTATTTGTAATGCAGTAGCAAACGAAGCCCTAATATTACCAAATAACTTCCCATCCAGACCAATCATGTGAAAAGCCACGTAGTCAACCGTGTGAATGCAATTATAGGTAGGTAGGGTCAAGTTTGGTGTCTACGACAGCACTACCAAAGGAATTAGGATCCTCTCCTCCTTGAGGTTTTTACTTAACTTCCTACTTGTTAAGTTATTGGACTTGCTTTTAGGCCAAATTTCAATAATCTGAACCGTTCACATTTTAAAATTTGTTGAGTATATCATACCTGTAAAAAATCAAGTTGACCGGATATCAGAAAGCATGTGTTCGGAAAACTATTTATTAAATTTTTTTAAAAAAATAGTTTTTAGTTAGTTTTTCGAACACATACTTTTTGATATTCAATCAACTTAATTTTTTACAGGTATGATATACTCAACAAATCTTAAATGTGAACGGTTCAGATTATCAAAATTAGACCTAAAAATAAGCCCAATAACCTAACAAGTAAGAAATCAAATAGAAACCTCAAGGACAGGATCCTGATTCCCACAAAGGTGATCCTTTTTAATTTCTCTTTTGTACTGTTGTAATCGTGATGACGAAGTGAATGATTGAATAAGAAAACGAATCCACTTGGAAAATTCTAATGGTTCTAATGGGTCGCCAATTCCATTGTCAATGCATAATTTAATCAAATTGTGTGTTTGATTTTAAACTTTATCTTCTTCTTTTTTATTCTTTTTTTATTTTTTATTTTTTTGAATTAGAGTATAACTCAAATTAAAGCCAATTTTTTCTCTCTCCATCTTTCTCTAGGACTACTATAACTAAATTTCTTCTCCATCTTTCTTCTTATAATTCTTTTTAAATTTTATAATATTACTCAAAATATTTTAGGATCAACCATTTTTTCTTCATTAGAGTATAGGACAATCAACTGCCATTAGTGGTTCACCATCTTGTTAAAATATTTTTGTGTAGTATTATTAGAGACTCTTAAAATATTATTTCTAAATATTAATTATCTTCTTGTACATGTGTGAATAAGACTACAAATGTTATTTGAAAGCTCGACTTGATAAGAGTTTGATTCCATTCACGTCAACTCTTTGTTATATAATAAATTAACTTGAGGCATCCACATACATATATATGTAATAAATTATCTTTATTTATATAATAGAATAAATATATTAAATAAAATAAAAATATGTATAAATTGTAAGAAAAATATATTAGTCATATAATTTTATATGTTTAAATAACAGCCAAAAATAAAATCTTATTATCATCACAATTTTAAAACAGATTATATTTCATTATTTTATGAAATAAGACATAGTCAAAGACCTAAAACTTGTCAAACCAAAAGGCTACTTTCCAGAAAACATTGTCCTCAGTGACCTTCCATTCAGTTTCCAAAGCCAAACTTCTCAAACCTCATCATATATAAACCCTAATTAAACACCACCTCTCTATCCATACTCAACCAACAAAATTTATAATCACAAACACAAACACAATTTCTCTTCCCCTTTTCTTTTCCAAAATTATTTTCTTTCTCAATTTCCACCTAACCAAACACTACCTATCGCGACACAAATGAGTCATAGTGCCACTACAAAAATGACCGGGTTGCTTCTCCGGCAGCTCGGTCCACGGTTCTTCTCAACATCAACAACACTTGGTTCGGCCATGAGTGAGACCTCGAAGTTTTCGAGGCCATTAGGCATGGAGTGGGTGAGGATTAGGAACTTTAACACTTCTTCTGCTTGGGGTGCCGGAGAAAAAGAAGAGAAGGTGGCGCCACCACCGAGCTCGGCTGCCGGAAAGATAGAAGTTGGTGGTGGTGAGAAGGGTATAGTGAGTTATTGGGGCGTGTCTCCGCCTAAGTTTACCAAGGGGGATGGTTCCCCATGGATGTGGAGTTGCTTTAGGGTATGTGTTTCTATAATTAAATATTTCGGTTCATTCCGTTAGTCATGCGCTAGTAAAATGGATGAAAAATGATTAACTAATGATTAGTTTTTATAATTTTAAAATATTTTTTTAACATAATTTCAAATTTTTTTTTTGGGTATATTATTGTTTGGATTTTGTTTATTTTTTTGACTTATTTTAGTCTTTAGTAAAAAAAAAAATTAGGCTTCTAAATTCAGCTCAACGAGATGAGATGAAAAATTATTTTAAAAAATTAAAAATTCCAAAAAATGTTTTAGAAAATAAAAAAAAAATAGTGGATTTTTTTGGCTTATTCAATTTTTTTTTTTTTTTGAAATTTTTCACCAAAAAAAAAATTACTTTTTAAATTTGTGTCAAAAAAGGTTGGGGGAAAAAAAAAATTGACATATTAAAAAAAGTACAAAAAATAAAAATAAAAAATTAAAAAAGAAGTGACTTTTTTAAATGTTCCCAAACTGATTTAATTCTTGGATCACCGTGTTGACTAACAGCCATGGGAAACGTACAAAGCAGACGTGACGATAGATGTGAAGAAGCACCATGAGCCCAGCAATTTCATGGATAAATTTGCTTACTGGACTGTCCAAGTTTTGAAATACCCAACTTACTTATTCTTTCAGGTACTCTCTTCCCTCCCACTCCCCTTCATTACTTCAACCAAAAAGGTCTTTTTGATATCATCATAACATATTATATAAAACAACAAACTCTAAATACTTCGGCTTATTTTAGAAAGTAGATTAAAAGTTAATTTTTTTAATATTTTTTAAAAATATATGTAAAAAATAAAGAAGAAATATGACTCAAAAGAAATTAAAAGTCAAAAAATTGCTTTTAATCTCTTTGTGAAAAGAAGCCCACAGCTGGACCCTTTGCTATTTTCCTAGTCTGGGATTTGATTTTTTTTATTTAAGTTTTAGTAAATTTTTTTTTAAATTAAAAATTTTTCGTTCTTCAATTCTACTTGATTAGACGAATGAGAAAAATATGTTAAAAGAAATAAAAAGAACAAACAAACAAAAATTGCCAAAAACAAATAATATCTTTTTTTTTAATACATTTTTTGCCTTTTTTCTTTACTCCTTCAAGTTTGTACACTAGTCATACATATTTTTTTCTTCATTTAAAAATATGTATAATTCAAATTTAGTGTAATGTGGGCTCCATCTAAAATAAATTTGATTCACTTATTTTATTTGTTTAACTAATTTTTGAATAATATTTTCAGCTATATAACATTGATGAAGATTTAAATCTGCATAATTAATTAATATGTGTTGATAAACATCTCTTGAAAATTTTTAAAATAAGTAATAAATTTTACAATTTTAAAATAATTACACCATTTTTATTCTAGTAAGATTAAAGTAACTAAATTAGTATAGATAATGTGAAGATACAAAAAGAAACAATGTAAAATATATATTTCAATATCAAAAAGATGAAAATATCATTTTTTTTATTCTTTTAATTAATAAATTTTTAATGAAAAGGAATAAGTGTTAAATGATTTAAAATTTCAACGAAACCTAATATAATTACATCAAACTTTTAAAAATTTACCGTAATTTTTTTGCCAATCCCTAAGAGAGATTAGCATAATTTTCTTTATACAAATGTATAAAATTTTTAAGTGCAAATAGAAAATTCATATAAATTTGCAAATCAATTGTATGATGATGCATAGGGGATTAGTTATCCCAAACTATGTACTTTTAGTTTTAATTTATGAAGTTCCAGTTTATCAAAAAAAAAAAAAATTCATATAAATGTTTCATATATAAAAATGTGATTCAATACAAACCTTTCATTTTAAAATAAAATACTCGTAGAGATGAATTATATTTACAAAAATCATAATATCACATCACTTCTGTGATATTTTTTGTAATTTTTAGGGAGAATTACAAGCCAATGTATTTTTAAGGAAAAAAAATTCAAATCAATAACAAAATTTATAAACATTAATAATCAATAATTAATGTATTTTTAAGGAAAAAAATTCAAATCAATAATAAAATTTATAAACAATAATAATTAAAAATGGATAATTTTTTTTACTAATCTATAAATATTTTATGAAAAAGTCACTCAATAATGATACATTCCCCATTTTGGATCCCCAATGACGTGACAAACACCAAAGGATAATTTTTATATTTTAGTGAGATTTTCAAGTGATGTGCCTTACGATATATCACTTACGCTCTATTTGGTTAGAAAATTTAGGAAAAAATTTAAAAAGAAAAAAGAAAAAGAAAAAAGGAAAAAAGAAAGGGACTCACACACTTTTTCTCTTTTTATTTTTATATTTTTTTTCAAATCTCCCAATTAAACACCGTATTTAAATTTGGTTTGAGAGTACAAAATATTGTCAATAATTTTTCCTAACTTTGATATATGAATAGAGTTTTGTAATTTTTTTAATCTTTTATATGACAGAAACGGCACATGTGCCACGCGATGTTACTCGAAACAGTAGCCGCCGTGCCCGGTATGGTCGGCGGGATGGTCTTACACTGCAAATCCCTCCGGCGATTCGAACAGAGCGGGGGCTGGATCAAAGCCCTCCTCGAAGAAGCAGAGAACGAGCGAATGCACCTCATGACCTTCTGTGAAATCGCCAATCCGCTATGGTACGAGCGAGCCCTAGTCTTCGCAGTCCAAGGAGTCTTCTTCAACGCCTATTTCATGGCTTACTTGGCCTCTCCCAAACTCGCTCACCGCATTGTAGGGTACCTTGAAGAGGAGGCTGTGAATTCTTACACTGAGTTTTTGAATGATTTAGAGAAAGGAAATGTGGAGAACGTGCCTGCACCGGCTATTGCTATCGATTATTGGCAATTGCCGCCGGAATCGACTCTCCGGGATGTTATCACGGTCATTAGAGCAGACGAGGCGCACCACCGGGATCTCAACCATTTTGCATCGGTAAGTTTTTTCACATCATTATAAATTATCAACTCATTCCCCATTTTGGTACACGTCTTTTTTAAAAAAAAAAAATTAAAAAACTAATTACTAAAGAAAAAAAACTAGTTAAACACCCCCTCTAATTTTGGATAGTAGAAAGATACAATATATATTTTTATTAGCTACGATTTCTGGATGAAATTTCTTTGTAAAATCAAAGAATATGTCAAATTTTCTTTATGAAATGTTAAGGGATCTCAACTACTATAAAAATATTATATATCATTTATTTTATAAACTCTTAATATCAGGATTCTTAAAAAATATTCTTATTGATTTCTTGATAATCCTGAATAGATGCTAAATAGACGAAATTAATAATTAAATAATAAAATAGAAAAAATATATAATTTATAGAATAAAAGTGAAATTAACCCTATTTCTTTATAACAATTTTAGGATTCAATGGACAAGATAAAAACATTTTATTGGCAACAAACGGCATGGTGTATTCGGTGCTTTAATTTCTCATTCTTTTGTACTAAGGTCTCGTTTGAGAACATGTTAATTTAGTAATTTTTTAGCTATTTGGTTAAAATATGAGCTAAAAAAAACTAGTATGTTTGGGATGACTTTTTGACTTTTTACGAAAGATGTGCAAAAAGTAGAGAGAAAAGAGAATCTTTGACTTTTTGGTATGGGTTGTTGGCCTTTTGGCTAATTTAATAATTTTTTAACTTTTTGACTAAAATGGAGGGTTTGCATTATCAAATTTCAAAATTCTTGTATTTTAAGATTTATTGTAAAATAATATGATTGTGAGTACATTAAGTAGAAATAGAAAAGGAAATGAAATAAAGGATTTGACTACGGATGAATTGGTGCATATAATCAATTAAAAATATTTCAAAATTTTTACAAATACAGAACTATCTATTTTTTGTGTGGTTAATTTTGTGTTGGTTAAATTATTGAAAATATTCAACAAATGCATTCATGTTACTTACACAATATTTTGGTCATACTTTTCATATACATATGTATATCTTTTCAATGGGTAAATGTTTGATATAAATTCATAATGATTTATATATTATATTTAAATTGCAATTTGCAGGACATTCAATGCCAAGGACATGAGCTGAGGGAGTATCCTGCCCCAGTTGGATATCACTAAAAAATCAATCATAGAAGCTTCAAGAGTCTTGTATTGTAGGTGTGCATGTATTAATCAACAATCACATATCCCTATTCAATTTAATTTTATAGTATATTTGTATTATTTCTTTCTTCTAAATTGTATGTAAAAATGTTAAATGTACTGCAAAAGAAATCTCCCCAAAAATAAATAAAGATGATGTTTGGAAAGCTAGAGGAAATTATGATTGTTTGTTCATGACCATCTTCATCTCCCTCTTAATGATATTTTAGATGGGTTGTTGTTAATTGTTAATTTTCAAAATGCTGCAAGAATACTGTGTAATTTTACAATTTCTTAATCTCAAGAATTTTTATACTAATGGAGCAGGATTGCTTTTGGATGTGTAGAAAAACAAATGGAGAAATTTACTTGCACATAATTTATGCACAGGAAAGAAAATTTTGAAAAAAATATACATATTTTCTCAAAATTTGATAGCGTGATTTTATTCCCTCCTCCTTCCCTTGCCACCTCCAACCATCACCCACCATCGACCAGTTCTGCCATTCATCACCTTTGGACATCGGTAAGTTAATGGCAACTTATTTGTTTTTTGTTTTTTTAAGTATTCAGTTGAATACCCTTAATTTTGGCTTTTTTATATAGCTAATAATACCTTATTTCTGTTGTACCCAATATATATAGATAAATTTCGGCCCAGTTTTGAATATTCAGCCCATCAAATTTGCATACCCAGCCAGCCCACTGCTCAGCCCATTTGTCCACATGGCCCACAACCAGCAAAAAAAAAAAAAAAAAAAAATACAAACAAACAAACAAACAAACAAATAAAGAATCAATAAAGTGAAAATAAGAATCAATGGCCCCATGTGTCAGAACGCAAGAATCCAAAAGGATATTTGGGACAATTCTCGAGCAAAGAATTGAACAAAAAAAAAAAAAAAAAACAAACAAACAAAAACAAACAAACAAACAAATAAAAAATCAATAAAGTGAAAATAAGAATCAATGGCCCCATGTGTCAGAACGCAAGAATCCAAAAGGATATTTGGGACAATTCTCGAGCAAAGAATTGAAGCTCATTCTATTATGAAGTCAATGTTATTTTTGAATTTATCTTCACCTTACGCTTGATGGAAAAATATTTTGGAGATCATAAATGAGTTATTATTAGCCTTATAAAAAATTTGACAAAAAACAAAAAAACAAGATTTTGTCAATGCTAATGCTATGACTCTTGTTAACAGTGATTACAAATGATAAACGTTAATCTCTGTTGATTAAAGAATATTCATTTTATATAGTATTTCTATCTCGAATATAGATGAAATATTTGTTATTAGTAGATGATTGCAACACAAAGGTCCACAAATTGTAAATTTATATTACTACCGTTTGAGTTATTATAAACAATTTTAGATATGCAACTTCAAGAATTTAACAATTGCTTTCCAAAGATAAATACCAAGTTGCTTCTTATTGGTAGGGCTTGTTTGAATCTTAGTAAATCATCATTTTCAATCCGTATTGTAAAGTTCTGTCCATCTAATTTTTTTACAATAAGACCTCATTTGGAAACATGTTTTTTTAGAAATTTTTTAATTTTTTGACTAAAATATGATGTAAAAAAACTGATATATTTTGGATGACTTTTTGATTTTTTACAAAAAAATATGCAAAAAAATAAAGAGAAAATGAAATCTTTAACATTTTGTTATAGATTATTAGCGTTTTAACTTTTTTAATAATTTTTTAACTTTTAAGCTAAAAATAATATTACCAAACAAGACCTAAGTAATAGTTGATATCTAACTTTAAACTCACATTGCTGATATGCGTTCCAATCTTAGTAAATTAATATGTTATATTATTTTAATATATTTTTTATACATATATTACCATTAACTAGGATGAGTAATCGGTACAATAATAATAAAAAATAATATAATAGATGTGCACACTCACTACAAGAAAAAATACTTTTGGTGACTAAATTTTTGATCGTCAAAAGTCTTTTTTTAGTCGCCAAATGTAGAATTTTCACTTTCCCCGACTAAATATTTTAGTCGCCGCTGTGGTCGCCAATACATGGTCGCGAATACCTTTGGCGACTAAAGATTTGTTAGTCGGCAATACATATGTCTTCGGCACCAAAGAATTAGTCGCCAATAGTCAATTTCATTTTGGGAAATTATACATTTAGCGACTAAACTTTTAGTCGCCAATACTGAATTTTTTTTTATTATTTATACATTTGCCGACTAAACTTTTCGTCGCCAATTCCCTATCTTTCGGCGACCACAGACTTTAGTCGCCAAAAATATTTTTCAGAAAAAAAAAATTTGCCTTTGCTTTTCCCAAGTTTCGAACCACCAACCTCCCAACCCTCAACCTTTACCAACACTCTATCCCCACTACGCCACTAATACATTCTGTAAATATTAATGCAAAATATATTATTTATATACTATATTGACCGGAATTAATACAAAGTTATATATATATAAAATATTATTTTTATTTAATATATTTTATGTAAAAAGTTAATTATTTACTAAAAAAATTAGGATTGCACTTTTGGCGACTAAATCTGATTTTTAGTCGCCAATTCTATATTTTTTGGCTACTAATTTGTATTCTGTCGCTAAAAGAATTAAATCCCGCCTAAGGATAGTACTTTTGGCGACTAAACTGAATTTTAGTCGCCAAAACCTCTACTTTGGGCGACTAAAGTGCAATTGAGTCGGCAATTCTTGACCTTTCAGCGGCCAAACAGATTTTAGTCGGCAAAACATCTATAATCGGCGACTAAGCTGTTTTTTAGTCACCAAAACCATCACTTTTGGCTACTAAATTATTTTAGTCGTCAAAAACCGTCACTTTTGGCTACTAAACAACCTGTAGTCGCTAAAAACCCTACATTCGGCAACTAAACTGCCTTTTAGTCGCTAAAACCATTATATTCGGTGACTGAACTCTTTTAGTCGGCAAAACTGATCAACTTTGGCGACTAATTCCATTTCAGTCGCTAAAAACCGTACTTTCCGCGACGAAAAATGATATTTTAGTCGTCGATTGTGCTTTTTGTTGTAGTGACTTTTGTGGGCATACAAACTAATCATTGAAATAGGAATATGGACATGTTGGGAGGCAAGTGAAGTTATTTTTAAATAATATTTAACATCACTTACCATATAATATTTATTCAATTATCTCTTTAAAAATAATATAAAAATAGTAAATCTTACCATTTTAACTAGTACAAACATAAATTAAGATTTCATCTGAAAAAAGTTAATTTAATCTTATTTTTTGATTTTTTAAATTAATTTAGTCTGACTAAATTAACTCCGTTTGAAAAGAATTTTAAATTTTTTTTAGTTTAGATACGATAGTTATAAGAGAAAAAATAAAATAAAATAATTATAATTTAAATATTATATTATATTTTTTTAATTAATTTAATTTATTTTATCTTTCTATATTTATTTAGATCCAAAAAAATTGTTGCCGAGCGGCAACTAAAATACCACGTACATTTGGAATTACACCAAAACTACTGAACAACGCAATCGTCAAATTAAGTAATCCGTATTGTTTGGAAAAGCCTGGCCCCAATCATCAATCCAATTTCACCATCGTGTATTATCCAATGAATTTGTTGATATAGATTTATACACTAACGATTCACGCGATACGTGTAATTTAAAAAAATAATAACAAAAAATATATTTATATAGTATGTGTTACTTAAATGGTAATTAAAAAGTCTAAAAATTTTTAGATATTAATTTGTGATTGTGTATCAATTTTAACCAATAAATAATAATCTCAATCAAACAATTAAAGACAAATCAACATAACGATTTTACGTGAAAAAATCACAATTGGAGCGCCTCCAATTGTGATAAAAAAAAATCACAGGTAAAAGTCACAAAATAATCCACTAAAAAGTCATAAAGGAATTACACAAGTGTACTCTCAATTACCTAGCGAATCCACGTCCAAATCGAATTGACCCCTATGTGCCTTTTTCAGCCCTGTCTTCACCTCGGAATTGTCTTGCCCAACGTTGAATCTACAACGCCAATATCGAATCACGACAATGAGCCACTCCAGAATCTACCAAAATTTTAAGCCCAAATTCTCTAGAATCTATCAAAGAACAACTCTCTCTTTTGTATTGAATGAAACAAACAATCATTTGATGTATACTTCTCAAATCATGAATTAAATTCAAACAAATATCAAAGAAACTAGCAAAGAAGCTCCAGATTGAAAACCCTAATATCCAAGAAGAAAATTTGGAAGATGTATGTTAAAACCTAACTAAACCGCAACTTTTATAGAAAACAGAAATGCGATTTCCGTTCGAGCGTAGGCATGGCCGTTCGAGCAAATCTGCACTCAAGCGCAGGAAGTGCTGCTCGAGCGCAAAAATGCAACTCCTAGTATTTTTGTAGACAGTTCAAACTTCTGGAATCAAAGATTCTTCGCTCTAGCAGACAAGCAACTTTGACTGCATTTTTGCTTTTTGCTTTAGGGGCGCTGCCCCTCGACCCTCGACCCCGCCTGGACACTGCCCCGAACCCGCCAAGGAACGTTGTCCCCTAGACCCCCACAAGTTGACCGGGCAACTCGATCCTCGACATAGTCAACAAGTGGCAAACATGATAGGATTAAGATCACAAACTCCTCTACATAGGCACAATTCAGATTGGATTCACATCTTAATATTCATAGCCTCACTAAAATAAACGATTGAATAAAATTACAATTGAAAGAAGTTTTATCAAATGGAATTACTAATAAAAAACATAACAATAAAAGTCTTCTTTATTAAACATATGATCATAGGTTCAATTTCAACGATCCTCGACATAGTCAACAAGTGGCAAACATGATAGGATTAAGATCACAAACTCCTCTACATAGGCACAATTCAGATTGGATTCACATCTTAATATTCATAGCCTCACTAAAATAAACGATTGAATAAAATTACAATTGAAAGAAGTTTTGTCAAATAGAATTACCAATAAAAAACATAACAATAAAAGTCTTCTTTATTAAACATATGATCATAGGTTCAATTTCAAATATAAGGGATATTTTGAGAAAATCCAAAATATGTGACACAAAGTCTCGACACCACCAAAAGCTTTCATTATATATATATATATATATATATATATATTAAAATAGATGGATAGATATATAGATATATT